AGGGACTTGTAAATTAGGCTATTGTATGTCCTGTATGTCTTCACTTTGATTTTCATGTGCATTCAAAAATCATTTGCTATTAGGATTTCTCAGACTTCAGCTGTCTTGCACCAAAATAAATCCCTCTTGATCATTGCAGTGTTTTACTTGGATGCAAGTCAGACTTGCAGAGATTATGGAATACAGCATGTTTTCTTTTCAGCAGACTTCATTGGGGTAGTGTTCACTGAACTAAGTCACTTCATAACAAGAGACCAGAATGGCCAGGAAAAAATACCAGTGATAATTATGAGCACTGCATGAACTGGCAGTGCTCTGTTGGGAGTCTTCGATGGTGTATTTAGTTTAGTCTGTCGCTGAGATACATAAAAGCCTAGGAAAGGAGCTGTTTCATGTGTAGAAAGTGAAGTCCTATAAAAATTCTTATCTAAGTAGACTGTTCAGATGCTTCCTAGGTATTAGTTGCTGCCGAGAAGGAACCTTCTATATATGCTTTTACCTGTGGTGAAAAATAGTGGTGTTTGAACGTGAGGCAAGTGTGAGAGTGAGTTCATGATGACCTGGCCTAAGTTGCTACTGTTTGTCATGGTTTCTGCAGTAATACTCAAAATGGATTATCCACATTAAGACTGATTTTGGTGCTGGTGTCTGAGCCATTTTGAACCTGAAGGCAGAGCTTAATAAAATGATTTGTGTGAAGTCAGAGTATTCACAGATGGAAAGTAAGTCAGTCAGACAGACTTCTTTTTCTCCTTTATGCATCCTTTTGACTGGTGTTCTCTTTACACTGCTGGGCGTGAGCCTGTTAATCAAGTGTGTGCTGTACAGGGAATGGTGCAGTGTTACACATTCCTGCAGTGCGAGAAAACAAAAAGAGGTATTTTCAATAACTGCTGTGGACCAAGCTGCCTCTTGCTGTTCAAGACAGTCAGTGTACACTGGTAGTATTCTATTTTTAGCTGTAAAATGAAAAGACTTGGTTTCATGTTCTAGGAATGTTTGGAGTGGATTTATCCCTGTGGTTACTATCCACAGTTTCTGTTGGTTTCTAACTTGCGTACATTTTGTGTTTATAGGCAAGTGTAGCTAAAGTTACTGTAGTAGGCAGACCTGTTTCTGGCTCTTTCATGAGAATGTTGCCGTTAATTCATAGGCACAGTAAATGGCTAAGGTGTGACTTTCACGCGTGGAGGTGCTGCAGGCTGCTGTACTTGCCTGCTGCACAGGTAACTAACCTTCTCTGAAGAATGCGATCGCTGCAGGCTACACAGCAAAAGGGCTGATTTCAAACCTGACATTAATGTAGAACACTTGAAGGATAACTGAGATTTTAATACTGGAAAGAGCACTCAGTAGTTCTTTCAACATTTCATGGATAACCATAAGGATCTTTGAAGACGGGAAAATGGCATACTCAGTTTTATTTCAAGACGACTAGACAAAAGTTAGCATAGATTTATTTAATGAAATTCCATTTCACTAGACAGAATTCAACAAGAGGGATTAATCCTTTGAATGTCATAGGTGGTAGTTTTACCATGGCTAAACAAGTTGCCACTCATCAACTGAGGGATACTGAATGACAGTTTACACTTCCTTGCTGTCAGTTGTGAAATAAAAATGCAGAGAGGATTTAAGGTAAGGGGTTTTGATAATTGCAACTGTTGGGGAGACTAACAGGAGTTAGTAGGTGAATAGAAAGTCAACTACTTCAGACTGTCTGTATTTTAGGTTCTTGTCTTTGTGGATTCTTTTCATATTCTAACATGAGTCTCTGTGAAGTAGCTTTAGTCTAGTTTTGCAGATCTCTTCAGCAAACATCCCAGATGCTGAGGGGAGAGAAGAACTATTCAACTCTGTTAAAGAGAAAGTCATCAAAAGTTTTGATGGGTAAGAGCAAAGCCCGTTTCCAGAGTCAGGCTAGGAAGTTAGTCTGCCCCTCAAAGCTGTGCTTGGTCACCCAGTGCTACTGTCCTCATGTGTGTCAATGTGGGATATTTCTTGAAAGATTTTCTTAGTTATTGTTACATGAAAGTATTAAATACCATTTCCAGTTGCTCATTAACTGTTACGGTCGTGAAGAATGCATTGTGACATTTTTACTGAGTTGAACTAGTGCAGGCTCTGACTGTATCTTACTAAGGAACATGAACTAAGGATTGTGAGACTGTGTTTTGTTGTTGTTTCGGGACAAAGCATGTTTGTCTCAGGGTCACTTTCCTCTCCTTCCCCAAGCCCCATTCTTTCCCCAGCATCTGAATTTCTGTGTAGGCAGGTGGGTTATCTTGGCTTGAGCACTTTCAGAACATAAGACTTTTGCATAATTTATATGCATTCTGTCCCCTGTGAACTTGGCTTTATGATTATGTAGGTATATGTATATGTGCAAATACATATACGTTATATATACATTACATCTGTATATACGTATATAACTTTTTCTATATGTGTAAACAGAAAGACTTTAATTTCCTGTGTTACCTAACAGGCTAGACTTCTTATTGTAAGGTGAAATTTCATCTATTTTTTTATTTGCATTTGATCATTATTCTTTGACAACTCTTCTGAGTTCGTGTACTCTTTGGGTAAGATGTTAGGACTACAGAATGAGTATAAGAGAATTGTTAGTTGCAGATTTGTTTGATAAATAAAAGACTGCATAGATTCTGTCAAAAAGTTGAATAGCAAATTTATATAAGGAGTGAACTGAAAATAATTAATTGAGGCTAGAAACAAAATGGTTTTGATGCTTGCAGTAGCTGTCAACTTAAATCCAGCACTGCTTATTGCCATTTTTCTCGATGCATCAAAACCAATATTCTAATAAGGCAAAAAGGGGAATAATGTACATATCTTCTAAAAACATGGCAACTAAGGAAAACTAGCTGACAGGCAAATCCAGAGTTCGTTTAACACAAAGCTCATTGTATGATCTCTGGTGCTGTTTTGTTTGTTTGGGTTTTTTTTTTTTCTTCACATGTAACTTTGTGTTCCTTGCTGACTCCTAACGATATTCTAATATGACAGAATTTGAGCTTGCAAGCTTTCTGCTCACCACATTTCTTATTGGTGAGTAATGTGCTGACAGCCGGGACTCGGCTCCCTCGCCAGCTTAGCTCACTGGCTGTTCTAGCCTTTTCTTCCTCTATTCTGTAATGTTTTCCTGCCTTTATTATGAGGGTTGCTAGTGCAACGTAGTGCTGTGTTAGAGGCTGAATTTGTTGAGTTCTTTATGATTAGGGACTCTGTAAATGTTCTTGGGTTTGTGTTTTGTTTTCAGGAATGACCTAATGGTGAGGATTTGGCATTCTGTGTAGTAAAGCTGCAGTCTTTATCTGTAATTTTTCAGGTTTAGCCTTAGAAGAACAGCTTTGAAAAAACACTCTTATTTTGGGGGCTGATGCTAGTGAAGGTTCTAAGTTACTGATTCAGGAGTGTGAACAGAGGTTAATGCTAAGACTATTAGTGCTTGCTGTGCCCATGCAAGAGAAGTTTCTGGGTTGACTTTGTGATTAGGTCACAACTTAAAAATGTGGTAGCTGAAGGGCTTTAAAAACATTTAAACCTTGTATTTGCAGGTAGAGGGAAGAGCTTCCTTATTCCCATCTCTTTGTAGCAAATGAAGTTCTGCAGCAGGGAGATTAGCCCTTTTTCTGTCTTAGTCTTACAGCAGTGGTTGCAAAGCAACTGAACTCGGGCTTCATTGTCAGCTTTGTAATGTGTTTGGCTATCCCTTGTTGCTGTGCCGTTTGACTTCAAATTACTGTGGTACGTTTGATGGATCCAAGATTTTTTCCTAGGGAGTCTGAGGTTACTTCATTTCCATATACTGGGAACGTAAAGGATGTTTTAAAATATTAGCTGTTTAAAATACCTGAAAAATAAAAGGGTGGAAGTTTGGTGCACTTCTGTAAGAGTGATTTATTTATTTATTTATTTATTTATTTATTTATTTATTTTAATATGCCTTCTCTCCCACTATAAACTAAGGGTAAATCCCCTTGCTTTACTTTGGCTTAAATGAAGAGAAGTTCCTCGAAGGCAGCAATTTTGATCTGAGCATCATCAGCTGTTCCCAGTTTTTTTGCTGTTCTGTATTAAGCACAGGAGAGAAGTATGGTGGTTACTAACTGCTTTCTGTTCTCAGATGGTTGTTTCTTTTAGTGACTCCATTTAAAATATCCTTTTGCTTTTCTGTTACCCTTTTGGAAGGGATCACCAAAGTTCAAGAACTTCTCTTATACTTGACACTCTCAAGAAGACAGTGTAATATGAAGTTAGTAACAGGCGGAAATAGTTCAGCTAATGTAGTTGCAGAGTTTGACAGCTAGATGGTGGTTGCTCATTTAGGCCACTACTAGTGTTTCAATAATAATTGTTTGTTGAACAGGGAAAGAAATCATGTAGAAGTACTCACCAAGATCCCTGCTGGGTCTCTGTTAGGCACGCCTTGCATATTTGGGAGAGGAAGGTTATGATTTGTTGTCTTTAAAAATATGTTTGACTGATGTATCCTTCTTTCAGGTAGAAAGTTAGTTAAGACTACTAACAGAGATTCGATACCGAATGTGCATTTTCATTCATCTAACAATGCTTTTCGTGTTTAAAAAAAACCCCAAAACACTGCACTGCATTTCTTGAAGGATGGGTATCTCTGTCTGTCTTTGCGTATTTGTATCTGTTTTCATACCACGTAGTTTTAAGAGACAGCGCTTCTGGCAAATCTTCAGCAGATTCTATTAGAGTTCTGCAGCAATATTACTAAATTATTATATCTTACGAATAGCTAATACTGCCTTAGGCGCCATTCAGCCTACAGAAGGGCAACCCAAAGAAGTTGTTCTTGCTTGAACTTAGATCAGTTTAAAATCCATAGAAGAACCTGCAGCAGACGTGACGTAGGTTAAGTTTTCAAAACCACGTATTATGTCACTTGTGTATCTAGTATCAGGCATCTGTATATCATTATATCTGTTTTCATTTTAAGGTCTGTGGGGGACAAGACTCATGGAAGAAAGCAACACCAGCAGAGAGCGATATCTGAAAAGTGTTTTACGGGAGTTGGTTACATACATAATTTTCCTTGTGGTCTTGTGTGTCCGTAAGTACTGTTCGGCATTAATGCATTCAGTTCTGTACCTCCTGCTTGCTGTCTGTGATTCTAGAATGAAGATGTTTTCAGTGATGCAGGAGAAGAATTAATGGCAAATACTTAGAATTCAATCTTTCTCTTGTTTATGTGTGTGGATTGTTGCTTGGGATTGAAAATACTGCTACTTGCCGTGCCTTAGTGAGTTTGAACCTTTAAACAGGATGATAATGTTCTTTGGGTTTAGGGAGCGTTTTTTTAATGTAGTACCACGTTGCAGTGTAATGCTTCCGCTATACATTTTGAAACCACTGAACAGAATTATTAAATGTGAAGAGTAGGAGTTAGTCATCTAGGACAAAAAATGAAAATTAAAAATTAAATTAAATCATTGAGTTTCAGATTACCAAGATTAGATCCAGATCATTCTAAGAATAGAAATTCTTGATAGTAGCTGGAGAGGCAGGGATAATGCTTTAGAAATATCTGATAATCTATATTTGCGCGATGCTGGACATTTTAAACACATCTGCAGCCTTTATATACTCCAGGGTATATGGATCACAGCTGGAGACTTCCATGATTTAACTGTCATTTTGTTGTCTATGATACCATATGAAGTATAGTAATACTATAGAATACAGAACAGAGTAACATTCAACCTACTCATCATTATTGTTATTAATTATGATTTTTTTATTTTATTTGGCTTTTAAGTAAGTGACTGCTTTGAGGTAGGTGCTCTAGAATCAACACTGAAAATAGTATTATCAGATTCTACTAAATACAGGCTTAGTAGAGAAATGAGGAGCTTGATAGATCTCCAGCCTCATACACAATGATATTCCTGGACTCAAACGGAGTTTAAGTAAGCAGCCTGAACTTTTCTGGTGATGCTGGAACACAGGTAGTGCAGGAAGTTTGTCACAGGCCTCGCACAGCACCATGAACAGTTGTGGCCACTATAATGTAACGGTTCTGAGAGCCGTCGTCTTTTCTGCCCTTGGGAACTTGAAACATTCATACAGTTCTATTTCAAGATTTCTAGGGGTTTTTAAGTTAATAGTCAAAACAAAGCATGTTCATATATTTGCATAAAAATTAGCAAGACAATGCATAATAAAACTTATTATGCAGTTGTGAAATAGATGTTTTGTTTGGTTACTAGGGAGAATAACAACACAATCTGTATGCATTAAGTTAGTATATCTTTGGAAAGCCGATGTGTTTCAAGCCTCCAATTTTTAGTGTGGGCAGTTCTGTTCTAAATGCCTGAAATGTCAGTGATGCTTAAGTTGTTGTTTATGATCATTTGTAATAGGACGAAGTGATGGTTTTATTTTTTGTCAGAGAGAATCTTGGAGCGGAAAAGAAAATGCAAAACTACATTGGTAGACTGGCTCTTAGAGCAAGTCTGACTTGCTTGTCTGGAGTAGAATTACTAAAAAACCCAAACCTCCAAACTTTATGCTGTTGACACAACTGTTTTGGTGTTGTGCTGCAAGCATGGTTATTTACTAAATACCATGGTTTTTTTTCCTTAGCGAGTCCTTTAAGAATGCTTAGTGCAGGTTTATGGACAAAGTAATGTAAGACTGCTTGTGGCTGGTATGCTGCACCACCAGGAGAGGGGCAGCAAGAGA